TCCCTTCAGGTTCAAAAGCTAGGAGGTATTGGAAGAATTGGTAGCTCTACCGATCCCTTCTGTGCATGAAGACAGTTGTTTGCCTCTTAGATCATGTTTTTATCTGGATTTATATTTAATGTTTTGGAGAACTCCATACTCATCAATACTAGATTCTTAGACTAAGTTAATTTGGGGCGATCAATTCTAACAAAAGCTTCAGTGTGCCTGTCATTTACTATCAAAGTTCACAGAATATACAGTCCTCGCCCTTACATTGAAAAATCCCAGCAACTTTTTAATGAATATTGAGTTCTATTTATAGGATTTTATTGCAAAGGCTAATTGCTATTTTGTACACTGTAGCGATGATCCCTAAAAAGTTTTAGTATTAAATTTGGTGTAATGAAAGCACCTATCATAATTGTGGATAGAACTAACTTGCATAACAATTGATACTTGTATTGGCTTTGTTATATTATAGGAATGTTCGTGTTTGGGAGAATGTGAAAGAACCTGAAGCTGCAGTTTGAACTCTGATCATAATTACAGATTACTTTGCTCTGTTTTTTACCCTATTGCCCTCCCTGGAGTGATCAAAGAACTACATTTGTGTATGTCTGCATGCGGGGGTCTGAAATGGGAAAAGATACATTGCAAAATGAACTTGTCCTCTTTCCCAGAATCACTGCCAAGAGAAACTCTGCAAACTCAGATGGCTGATATGTTTTTAGACTTCTTCATGGGAACTGTCAGGAGAGATGTGTGAGCAATATTATATAAAAGCATCCCTTGCTACAGTTTTTTTCTTTTTCTTTTTTCCATTAAGAAGGTCAGCTTGAAGCACCACAGTTATAAAATGGGCAAAATTTTGCCACTTCATTGGATCATTAACAGTGTTACCTGACTAGTATAGCCTTAATATACTACAGACGGAATTCTTGATGGCATTGTGGGAAGTCTATTTTCTGCCTAAGGTTTTAATTACTCTGCTGGGAACAACATAGAACCCAAGAGTCTGCTACATAGTATTCCCTTGACCTTGTCATATTTATAAAAACCTCAAGGCATGAAATCAAGAATCTACATAAATAATTGAATTCTTGGTCCATGGAAGATTTGAGTAATTTTATACTCTGTTAGTATGCCCTCATTTGGCTCAATCTATGAAACAAAAATACTCTAAGGTCCAGTTGTCTTATCTGACTCAACATACTGCTCGCATATTAATAGATGCAAAGATATGGTGCTGAGTTTCCAACTCTTAGCATTCCCAGTCCCAACAATCAGATTATGGTAAGACTGGAATACTAGAGGTTCCAGATCTCTGCAAGTAGACTTGAAGCAGACTCAATTACAGTGGTACCTCTAGTTACGAACACCTAGTTACGAACTTTTCAAGATACGACCAGCTCCGGCCCCAAAAATTTACTTCGACATGCGAACTCCGCCTCGAGCTACGAACCGGATCCGCGGCCATTTGCCCTGCTGCCACGCGGTCGCGGCTTCCTGTGGGCAAGAACGGGGTAGCAAGGAGGCGTTCGGCGGGGCTTGTGGTGTGTTTTGGTGGGTTTGGGGGGGTTTTT